TTACTCCATGAAGAAATGACTTTTGGAGGCTCGGAAGGTGTTATTCGTAATCAGCTCGTTAAACTGAATCTGAATATGTATAATAGAGTCAAAAAAAAATTCCACTCGATTTTTGCATTAGCCGCACCTTACAATGGACAGCATTTAATATCAACTAAATGTGTTATTTCTTATATATTATTCATTTTCGATAATTAATAATTGTCGAGTATATATTAAACGTCTTTGTAGATTGTCAATATTTCTTGTTCCAAGGACTGGCACAATTTCATTAATAGGAGATAACTCAAAATATTTACGCCATAAGGTATGGAATTTCACAGGGAATGTTCGCATACTTGTAGAATAAGCAAAGTGAACAAATATCGTTTTTCTATGATCGGTTGGCGTTATATCTTGAATGGAGAATTGAATTAACTTTTCACGTAATGCAGTATAACTATTAGCACTAAGTGGTTGATCAATATTAAATTTTAACAGGACATGATTAAATTGATTACTTGTCAAATTCTCAGGATATTTGTTAAGTAATAAGGCTACTCGTAAGGATTCTCTTTCATGTAAATATGCTTCAAATGTTGAGCAATATCGAATGGCTCTTAATAACATAGCAAATGGTATATTTTTCTGCATATGTAAAGGATGAATACTAGTAAATGGTAGATAATAAGGTTCATAAGATGACTTTTGATATATTTTTGTAAATAGATGACCGTCTTGATTTTCTATGTGTAGATCTAGGAAATTATCTCCGACAACATACATCCGATTTTGCCGAAAATTTCTATAAATGTTAGACACAATGTGTTACGAGAACAAAAACGTTTTTTTGTCTTCTGATCTTACCGTTTACGAGTTTTCCAGAGATCAAGGTCCATAAAGGACCCTGAAGTATTTCTCAAGATTTCTTGATATACTTCAAGCTAGAGAGTTCGGGTTTATTTTATTTTAAACTAGGCACCTATAACTACATGGACTGACGGCGCGGATTTTTTAATCAAGCCTTTGTTCATTTTGTAGACAGCCAACAACCTCAAAAACTAGAAAAACGCTTCCTGGTGTTCTAGGAATCCTCAATTTGACAAACAAATAAGGTCTAAATGGAAACTTGCTCGAAAGTCATGAAAAATCACTTCTATAACAAAAAGCAATACAGATTTTGTAAGCAGACACTTCAGGCTATCTTTCCGTGTGCTTATCTTAATATCGATTTTTTGATCGAGAATCATCATTTTTGACGAAACTGGGCAGTCTTTAATCCGAACATTTTTGCTAGAAACGTTTATTAAAGCTGATTCTCATATTAAGGGCGAGTATATTAGAGTATCGGTCTACACTAATCCATTCTCAGATTTCGATTTTATCCTTCGTTCAGCCGAAAACCTTTTTTCCCCGGACACTGATATTGACTATGTCAGTCTGTAGAGCACACCAAGTTACCTCTGCACAAACAAATCATCATGGTTTCTTTACTCAAAACTAGAAAACAACAAATGCCGTATTGATAAATAAAATAATTCTCTTTTTACTTTTTTTCTCTATGAATTAAAATGGTTTACAGACATATTAAAAGCTATTGTTAGTGCAACAAACAAAAAATAACAACAACAAAAAAAGAATGAATGAAAAAGTGTTACTACGCAGAGTTATCTGAACCTTTTAAGAGAGAGTCCATGTGCATAATCCCGTGGAAACACAGATTTTGTTCGAAGTGTTCTCATCGTGTAGAGCGTAAAAAGTAATTAGAAATCCAAGTTTCTAAATCTTCATAACGAAAAATGAGCAATTGTCTGCTAAGAGCCTCATGAAAAACTGTGGAAAAATGTATCTTTTCGCCTTTTATATTTAACTTTTGTGTTTTCTAGATTAAAAGCTTCGAATTATATATGAATCGAAAGAGCACAAAATTCTCTACAAGATAGACAACTTATCAAGTCTAAGAAATGGAACTGATTGTTGAAAAGTTTTAGAATTTCGAAAGTTTAAATTTAAGTTTTTACAACAAAAAGACATTTAAAAAAGAGGAAAAACTCTTTAAAAAAATATCAAAAGTGCAATTTTTTTGAAGACTACTCGTCATTCTTGTTCAGTAGTTAACATTTCAGTATTTGTCGAATCATTTTCAGGCTGCAAACGTTTAATCATTGGTTGATGCACAAGTCTTTCGTTTTTTTGTAAATGTTTTATAAGAGTTTTATTAGGTTTTTTCATATATTTTTCAAAAAAAATCTATTACTTCATCAATAAATCGGTATTGAGTATCAATTGGACAAACAACAGGTATTGTATCTCGATTGATAACACCATTAGTAACACATCTTTTCTAAAAAAGGTTTGTAATCTTCTGTTACATAATCATCGAATAAAACACGAAAAGTTGTTTTCATCTATTCAGTTGGAGAATAAACAAGATACGATAACGAGACAAATAAAAGATTTACATGGATAAAATAAATAAACAATTAAATGTAATGTAATGCATTTGTTTCCGATAAGATCCTATGGAACTACACAAGAAAAAGACATATATAAGTAATTGCCATCATCCTTTAACTCGCCGTTTGAATAATTCATAAGAATCGGATTTTTCAAAAAGAATTGAGTTAATCGTTTATATATATATATATATATATCTCATCTTGCTTGTTCTGTTAGAATTTTAAGTATTTTGTTCGTTTCATTCTACAACAGTACTGCTTCTGTAATTTTTGTTTGAACACAAAGTAGTTTCTTCAGTATCTTATCCACATCTAAATAAAAAGAATAATATTTTGTCTTTTTGTTTGAGGAAAAACTGACCAAGAATTTTAACATAAATTGGGTTCGTATTGACACAATAAACAAGACTAAATGGGAATGTCCGTACAATTGTTGTCCAAGCGACACGTTCTATTGGATTAGGTGCAAGTCAAGATTTTACCTAAACAACAGTATCACCTGTATGTTTGTAATTTGATCAGCTTTAATATTCAGAAATGGAGTACAACATTCCATCGAACAGGCTATTACTTAAACAAAAAATATAGTATTCTCATATCTAAGAAAAATGAAATAAATTTGATAGAACACGTGCGCAAATCATATGTTGTCTCACAATCTATATTTACTGTTATGCTGATTTACTTGTCTGATTGGATTTCACACACAGAAGCACTTTTTGTGACTGATCGTATGAAGTGTGAAGTGAGCCAAAAGGGTTAGCCAACGAAATCGCGCACACTTCATATGGAAGAAATGAGCCAAATAGATACGACTCCATCGTTTACAACCATCAGAATATCGTTTCTCTCGCTTGTTCGTTCTTCTTTCTCGTTCTTGTCTATAGCCAGGCGACAATTATGACAAATTTTTGAGTTCGATGAAACTCAAAATGATTGATGGAACTTTGACGAAAAATCAGGCTAATTTTTCGTGAAAGTTCCATCAATACTGGTGATCCTGGTTTGAAAAGGTCCAAAGAAGTAGTCGTGTGAGGAAACATATCGAACAGCTTCGACTCCGTTTTCCTTCATTCATATGCCGATCCATAGCATATATCGAGATAGTAAAAAGACTAAAAGGGTTTGAGTCCATCTCAAGAACTCTAAAAAATAACAAAACCATGTTTAATGAGGCATGATTGTAGCGCGCAAATTTCTGATTAAAATGAGACATCTCCCAGCTCTACATGACCTCTCTTTGCAAAGTTAGAGAATTTACAAGAAAAGCCCTAAATTATTTTCTTATTTCTGTAGCTTTGACCTGACAATGAACATTTAGGACTTTTCTTGTAAATTCTATAACCTAACAATCGATCATCTAACTTTCTTTTTTTTTTTTAAACTTTATTTATTTATTGATGAAACAAATAGTTATAACTAAGACAGGTCAAAAGAGAGCAAAGCCCCATTATTATCGTTCTGCCTAGCCAATTCATTCTTTCTCTCTTGTAGATTATTATGAGGGGGTCATCTAACTTCCTTTTTTAATCTTTATTTTTGTTCCACCAAGGATGATGGAAAACAAACAAACGAAAAAAACTAACTCCAAAACATTTAAAACAAAACCGTATATACGAGGAAAAGAGAGAGAATAAGAAGAGGAGGAAATTGAATGTTTAGAGATAATCGAAGAGATATGTGCGTATCGACTGACCTCGCATGACTTCACTCTATACAGTATTCCATGCTGATATTACAGGCCGATTCAGAACGGACCTGTGTACAGTGAAACAGCGAATCCCAGCATAAATTATTTAATTTTTCTCACTTTCTTACATATTGCTTATAGAGAGTTGAAAGTAATTAGCGATTTGCTCCTCAACGACCAGGTGAAAAGAAAAAAGTAAACAGTGGATTTTGTAGCGCTCGATGAGTTCTACTTGAGTCGACCAACAACGCACTTGTGTCCAAGGAAATAGCGAATCGTAGCACAAATTATGTGATTTTTCTCATTTTCTTAAGAAAATTCGCAGTTACACAAGAATATTAGATACAATGAGCCTATCGCTTTTACTGGGTCGAATGATATATACCACAAAACATTTTTTAGGGAAAATATTTTCTCGAAAAACAGTGGGAAAGGGTCTTTCTCAGGTATTTTCTGTCGAAAAGCGTTCTACTTTATGAAACATCTCGAAAAATCTTAGATATCTATGTTAGTAAAGACTTGCAAGAATTCTGGAAAACATCTTATTTCTTAGAATGAAGTGTACTCTTCAGAATCTACCACTGGGTCGATTGAAAATAATCGACCGCTATTAAGCCACGAGTGAACTACTAAAAGTCCTAAAAACAAAGCAGTGTTTTGGGGGCTCTTCGCATTATAAGTACAGCGCAGTTTAAGCTAGAGATGACAAGTCGGAAAATAGTTTACTGCGTTTACTGGTAACGTGAACACTTCTGCAGGATCACCTCTTTTCCACAAGTGGTAAAGGTCAGTTTTTTATACAAGTTTTCTGAAAACGATGGTAATTCAATGGGCCGAAGTGCGCTCTCATTTAATTTAAAAGAAAATTGTATTTCCGCTCGCTGAGACTGAGTCTTGACCATTCCATAATACAAGGCCGGTGATCATTTCTTGAATAACTCAAAAGCGATAAATGATAAAGACCTGCGGTTTTCATCACTCGCTAGCCAAGATGAAGCTATGTTTTCATAAGCAAAAACGGATTTCGGAAAAATTTTAAAGAGCGATTTTTCAGGAGATCAGGAGAAAACCAGTTGGATTCTATGAAACCTGGCATAGAAATCTATACATTTTGTTTCGTGGATATATAGTTCGAAGTGTCCTCTACAAAACTGGATCCAAGCAACATCTTAAAGATCCATGATTCAGGAGCTATGAGAAAGTGAGAAAAATTAAATAATTTATGCTGGGATTCGCTATTTCATTGGACACAGGTCCATTCTAGATTGGCATGTTATATAGTTTGAGTAGATCATAAGTCAGTTTTTTTATTTTCACCTAATGGCCGCCTGGTTGCACATTGTGGAAGGTGTCGGGATCCAGTCACTTCCAGATAGCGCCGAAGATAGTCGATAGTAGATCCTTCGTTTTCTTTTTTTAGTTATATTCTGTCTCTGGTCTTTCTGCTCAGTTCTATTGTTACTCCTTTTTCGCGTTCATGTGCTAAAGTGCCTCCTTTTTTTGTGATATACAGATAGACCCGTCAGTAATAGATTCATTCTACTAGATTTCAGTCAATTGCATACATCGCGTTCTCAGTTTTTTTATTGGTATCGTATTTATTGTTTTTATTCATTTTGTCAACACTTATTCATTCGATTGGAGGTGATCATTCTTGGTCTCTCTAGTTACTGTCAGCATCTCTATCAAGAGAAGATCCAGTCCATTAGGATAGCCATTAGAGTTTCCAAGTGGCATCTAGAGAGAGAAT